AAAGGGGGGGGGGGGGTGACGGACACCCAGGACCTCCCTAGCTACGCCCCTGATTGACGTTAATGAGAATTGCGCGTTCGTTGCAGACATTGTTCTCAATAGCTTACGGCATTTTGTTTTCAAACAGCTCTGGATATTCTGCGGCTTGCTGTTCGTTTTCCGTCCATCGCCAACTCATGTTGCAGTGGTTCTGATGGCGACAACCTTACAGCTCACTTACTTGCCTGTACAAGGTGGAAGGATTGTTATGATCACGATATTGAACTTTTGAAATATTCTTTTTTTTTTTGTCATCCATTTTCTTTTTGTAAGTGCAAATTACGAGAAACGCTAAAAACAGCCAATGCTATTCATTTTTTTGTTTTGTAAAAGGAGAAATTTGGGTAACTGGGAGTATTTCACGTGATGGCAACACCATTATACATTATTGAGCGAACGAACTTATGAACGTGTTTAAAGGTACCTACGGTAGCTGAGGGGAAACCTTCTGTTAATAGGGTACACCTAACTAAGAATAAAAACAACTGTGACGCCAATGTACATGGACTACAACAACATTTATTTATAGGATCAACACAAAATTAAGAATTTCATAGATATCAGCCCGTGAATCTATCTTTTAGGAAGTTCAATAGATCCTTTCTTCTAAAAATACACATGTAATATTTTAGTTGATTTTACTTGTTTTTCTTTGTTTGTTTATTTATTTTCATGTCGATTTTGCTAACTCTTTTTCGTTTATTTTTTTCTCCTCAAGGGACGATAATCCTCAACCCAATGTGCTCCTGTCGTTTAGAATATTGTCTAATTTGTTTTTGTCTTATGATGGATCAGCTTTAGTGCTGAAACACAGAGAAAAGGTGAGATGAGTGGTTTAAAGGGTATTGCTAATCAAAGGAGCTCAGTCACGCTATTTTGAGTTACAATGGTCATGTACAAGTTTACCCTTCGATTGAAGGAAACCTGAAGTTGTAGTAATGAGCCATAGAAGAACAAGGATGGAGAAGATTGACACAGATTACAAACGACGAACTTGACAGATTTAGACTAAATTTTTCAAGATGTGCAAACCGCGACTTAGCTCCTTGAACTTAAAAGAGTGATACCCAACATGTGCATAACGGGAACTGGTAACTTGGGTATCCCTTTCAAACCTTAAAGTGCCTGGCAAAAAGATGAAAATTACCAGCTGAAAGTATTGCACATTATCTGTCAATGGTCACACACTAGGTTTTCTTTTGAAAACGTTATCATTAGAACCACATTGTGTATCATGATGTACACTACCTCATGGAGATCGTGTTCAGTAGCTTCGTTGGAAGGTCTTACTCTATGGTTCTATCCACAAACTTTAATGTTAGAACCAGCATTAAGAATACCACTTGACAGTATTGCTCATTAATTTTGTTCGATAGTCGTACGCTTTGATTTCATCAGTTCAAGCGACGTTGTTAAACTCAAAGTCTGAAAATGATTAAGATAAGTATCACGATTACTCAACTATTTTGCTTTTCGTTATTCTTCAGATAGTAGAACATTCAATACCTTGGTGTAAGTGCGCTAACAAGAATATCAGGATATCTTTATGTACCGTTCTTCTTAAGTAAGTGTCATGTTATTTACACTTGCAGAACATTTCTCTAATATACACATTTTGTGCCACTTCAGTCGGGACAACGGGCAAATCCTCGTGAAAGACTGGACCCGAGCTGTTACTGTTAAATTAACAAAGCAACAACAACAGCAGACCTTCAAAGGAGCGTTTTCTTTCAAAATATCAGACAAAACTCATGAAACCGTGCTAACGGCGCAATCTATAGCTTAAGCGTAGCCCATTCTGTTTTAAATCATTCCCCTTCTTCTCTCGTTTGGTTAATAACCTGATGTCATATATCAAACACGAAATTATATTCCAAATTGCGTTTCTGGACGTTTTTTCAAGGGAAGCTCGGGGGCTCTTTGATACTGAATTACACCTAGTAACAATTACTTAGAAGCATGCTCTGATTTAATTACTTATTACTTTTGTAGTTTTTCTGTCCTTCTACGAAAACATAACGATTTTGAAGCAAAGACACAGTGTCTATCTACTCTAGCTGAGGTAAGTATTTTGAAGTTTTGGTCATTGTTTCGACCATGCACAAAAGTTTGTTCCAGTTTTGGTTCCTAACAATGTGTTCTTTGCAGATTTTAGAAAGTGAAACAGATAGTGAAGTCAGATTCAGATCTCTGGTGGCAGTTGGAACTTTGGTAAGTGAGAAAGCAATTAATTTAAGGAAAGAGTAGAACTTCTATCTGTGCTGTTATCTCGACCTGGTCCGAGGTCGAGTCACGAGGGAATCCAAGCCTACAAATGTAAATTATCTGAAATTTTGCGAGAAAAAGTTGGTCGAGCATATAT